TAGGATATCATGTCCGCATCTTGTACAGCAATTAACCACTAGGAAGAATGTATGCAATGTGTTAATTATTGAAACTGTACTACCAATTTGATTTGAAACTGTCTCATTGTTATTTGTTTATCAATAAAATTATGAGGAAAAAAAAGAGTCAGAGAGGAAGGGGCCAGGGTAAGACATACTGCCTGGGCCCACTCCCTTCACTTATGCCATATACCCTAAGTTTTCATTACATTCTAATAATGCCATCAAATTATGATTTCAGTATGGATTAATCCACTGATGATATAGTTACAGCCCTCATAATCCAGTTGTCTTTGGAAAGTCCCACCTCTGACTATAAGACTATTGGTGACATTTTTGATTTAAACTGAAACACCTGGACAAAATAATGTACTTGGGAGGGGTAAAGGATGAGCTGGTGTTGCTGGGTACCCAGAGCAGAGGGTCTATAGGCTTTTCAGCAGGGTGGGCTCAGGAACCTAGGGTCCAGATCTCACAGCTGTCTAGCATGGTTTTTGGACAGTGGAAAAGGGCTTCATTTTCAAGGAGGATAAACTGCAGCCCTCATACTTGAGGAATATGCGATTCTGGTGACATAAAGCTTATCAAATCAGGAGACTCTCCAGGAAACAGAGGTTGGTGTAGTGAGGGGTGGTCCAGAATTCACAGGATGCCTGTGGAGCCCTGGAAATCTGCAGCTGAAGGAAATGTGGAGAACAGGATGCCTGGCAGTTTCCACATAACCAGAAGGTGTCCTATCCTGTCTCTTATGAGCCTGAGGTCAGAACGTCTTTCCCACTGCCCCACTCTGCCTGCTGACTCCGTGTGCCATGAGATTGGCCTGACCCTTCATCGACAAGCCTGTCTGATCCTCTTTATCAGAGTATGTACCTTCCAGTTGCTACTAAAACTAGAACCCTTCATTGTTTCCTTTTACTTTCCCTTTAAAACCTTTACCTGTGCTTTCACACAAATGCTTGTTTTAATTTCCAGCCTTCACATGTTCATTAGTATGGTTAGCAATGTAATTAGTTGACTTTTGTGTCCATCTTGTATTCTGTGAATTAGTGAGTTCACTTTTGAAAGTTCTTTGGGATTTTTCTATGTGATTTATCACATAATCTTAAAAGTAGGTTTCATTTTGTCCACTACCATTAGCAGAGCCTTTATTTTTTTCCTTTCAGCACAGGCTAAAGCTTCCAACACTATGTTGACAAAGTGGTGGTGAGATGGACAGTCTTCTTATTTCCCGACAATGAGCACAAACATACAGGAAAGAAGAGACTGTTCAGGGAGGCCAGGCTCACTCTAAGCATCAGGGCCTCTGGGACACACATTCACAGTGGGGGTGCTGGTGACTTCAGCATAGCCCAGGCCTGTTTCTCTGCAGAATTGCTATCAACTAAGGTGATACTTTCATGCAAAGCCTAAGGGAACCCAGAAGCTAGGAGGAGCTGGGCAGTCCATTTTGCAAAAATTCAGAGATCATTTAAGCATTTGTGTGACACAGCCCTTAACCCTGTAATCACAATTCTCCTCTCAGTTCCTGTGAGTTTAACTTTTTACATTCTAGGGATGACTTGATAGGAGACACCATAGAAATAGATCATATGGTAACTGCCTTTCTGTGACTGGCTTAGCTCATTTAGCATGTCCTCCTGATTCATCCACATCATCGGCAAATGACGGGATTTTCTTCCTTTTATGACAATTTCATTGTGTACAATTGGCCCTCACATCTGTACACTCAAAGCATATAGAATCAAAATTATTTGAAAAACTTTGTAGTGAAGCTGAATAGAGGCTTTTCTTGTCAGGATTTCCCAAACAATACAGTATACCCATGCATGAATCTCTGAGCTGCTGCCACGGAGGGGCAGCTCTTATAAATGATAATCTGATGGATGACAGACCTTAGACCAGTGCTGTCCAATGAGAATGTTTTGTGATGAAGTATTCTCTATTTGGCCAAGATAATTGAGGACTTGTTTGCATTAAATTTTAATTAATTGAAAAAAAATTTTTAATTAATTGAAAATTAACCCTGTGGCTTGTTGCTGTGTCCTGGGCAGTTGAGCTTAGAGGTGGTAATGAAAATTCACCCTGAGTAACCTCCAAACACTACCTCCCTCTTAGATGCAGAAGTCCATGGCGATGCTTGAAATATCTATGCTCTAGCCCTGAAAAAGTCTTTTTAAATGCCCCTGAAGGGTTTGAAGAGGTAGGAGGACTTACTCAGAAGTGTCCAGCCAGGTACAGTGGTGCACACCTGTAGTCCCAGCACTTGGGAGGCTGAGGCAGGAGGATCACTGAAAGTTCCAGGTCAGCCTCAGCTACATAGTGAATTCAAGGCCAGTCTGGACTACGTAGTAAGATTCTGTCTCAAAAAAAAAAAAAAAAGTATCCACTCTTGCCAGGCACAATAGCTATACCTAGAATCACAGCACTTGGGAGGCTGAGGCAGGAGGATCAAAAGTTTGAGTACCAGGTCCGGCAAGATAGCTAGGAGGACTAAGTGCTCACTTAGGCAAGCACAGGGGCCGCTGTTCACTGGTGACTGAGTCTGGATATGTTGGTGCATGCCTGTAATCTCAGCACTGGGAAGGCTGAAAATAGGAGGATCACTACAAGTTCAAGCTGTGTAGTGAGACCCTACACACACACACACACACACACACACACACACACACACCTTTAAAAAAAAAACTAAAAAAAAAAAAAGTTTGAGCACTTTCTGGGTAATTTAGAGATCCTGGTTCCAAAAGTAAAAAATAAAAAGAGGTGGGGATGTAGCTCAGTGCAAAGGCTTTGGAGTCAATCTCCAGCATCCCCCCAAAATTGTTCAGTCTGTGCATTTGACACACCTATGTTATAAAAATAAAAAGGATAACTTTTGTTACTTATGTGCATTTTATAAGCTATACTAAACATTGTATATGCTGCCCAAGGTAATTCCTCCTCACTCCAAGTAGCCCAGGCAAGCCAGAGACACAGACTGGACACACCTCAACATATAGCTATGAACACAATAAGGATTTAAGCTAGACTCAAAGGCTCTTATGAGAAACAGAACCATTAGGCCTCTGAAAGGCCAGTCCTTGCAGCATTGTTTTACTAAAATGGTGAATGTGTGGCGTATGATCTACAAACTTGTATTTTGTTTTTTAAGATTCAAGGTTAGGGGCCTGCGGATATAGCTCAGCAGTCTTAGTGCCTGCCTGGCAAGCGCCAAGCCAGCCACCAAAACCACTGGGGCAGCTGAGACAGGAGGATCACAAGTTGGAGCTGCATAGTGAGACCCTGTACCAAATAAATAAATAAATAAATAAATAATTTTTAAAAAGATTTAAGGTTAGAACTGTGACATCAATTTTTACCCAAATAATTACTTAGAACTGGACTGTTTTCTGAAGATAAGATTTATGGTTAGCTCCAGATGATATCTAGAGAGACTTAGGTAGATCTAATTTTAGTAGGACAAATATGTATTATATCCAATATTATATGATGCTTGTTGCTTTGTTGGTATTTGCTATACTTTTTTTTTTATTTTAACATTTATTGTATGTGTGTGTGTGTGTGTGTGGTGTGTGTGTGTGTGTGTGTGTGTGTGGCCAGCTTAGCCCACCAGGGGGCGCGGCTGGCTGGGATGTGGTGCTGGAGGATTGAACCGCAGTCCCTGTGCTTTGCCAAGCTTGTTCCAAGTAGGTGCTTTAGACCACTGAGCCATCTCTCCAGCCCCGGTATTTGCTATACTTAATGAAAACACTACAGAAAAAGGATAAATGTGTAACATTTGCAGAGCTGATGTTATTCCAGGCTGTTTAATTTATTTAGTTTATTTATTTTTTATTTTTTTCCATAATTTTATTGAAACACAAAGTGTGAACTTTTCTAGGCTGTTTTAAAGGATTATCATAGATAATTCATTTAATTCCCCATGAGGTCCTTCATAACAGAATGTAGAGCTCATGAATAATTATTACTCATTCTAGTACTCAAAATTCAAATATATATTCATTGCATTATTATTAAAACAAATGTAAATTTTTATTAAATTCAACGTACTAATTATTTTGTGAGATCCTGTTTCAATCACGTCTCCTTAAAACATATAATTTTTTTTTGTAAACTCTGTTTTAAGACATAGCAATTAAGTAAAAAGTAAACTTTCCCAAGACCTTTAGAAATCCCAATCCAACAAAATCAGGTCCTGACTCCGTTAGATTTTTTTTTTAACTTTTATTTATTTTATTTTATTTTATTTTATTTTATTTTTTTATTGATAAACAGCAATGAGACAGTTTCAAATCAAATCGGAAGTACAGTTTCAACAAATAGATTTCACTTTGTTAAAATTTAGATATTCCAACTCAAGGTTCAAACAATAGTATTTTAAATAAAAACCGAAAGATTTCTCCCTCAAAACCTAACACCACAGATTCTTACATTATTTTCAAATCGAATCGACCATCATCCCTGGGAGAACACAGGTATTACCGAGTATGTCTAAATGGGACCCTTCTGGAGTCCCAGGCTCTTTGCCACTAGTACTCGTGGGGAGGTGGCCCTACGGCGGGTGGCAGGGGCACTAAGTCCGATTTTGAGGGATGGGCGTGTGAGCAAGCTGGGGCGCAGGTCGAGCGCCACGGGAGCCCCTGCAGCCTAGCATTACTAGCCTTTCCCGGACACGGGCGGGCGGCTGGCTGCCGCGTCAGTGCAGCTCTTTTCTCCAGGCAGTGGGTGTCTGTGAAGTCGTCGGCGTCCGTTGCGGGCAGCGAGCCTCACTTGTCTTGGCCTTGTGGTGGCTCTGCGTCTTCTTGGGCAGCAGCACGGCCTGGATGTTGGGCAGGACGCCGCTCTGCGCGATCGTCACGCACCTAGCAGCTTGTTGAGCGCTTTTTCCTCGCGGGTGGCCTGCTACAGGTGGCGCGGGATCTCGTACTGCGCCGCTGTTGGACGCCTGCTCTAGAAGCTCGGCGGTCAGGAACCTGAGCACGGCCGCCAGGTACACCCGGGCTCCGGCACCCAGGAGCTCGGAGTAGTTGCACTTGAGAAGCAGGCAGTGCGTGCAGCCCACAGGGAACTACAGGAACACTCGGGAGAGGCGAGCCTTAACCTGTCGCGAGCCTCGTCTCCTCCGTTTGCTGGGGCCAAACATCTCGGAAGAGTTCTCAAAACGAGCTGCAAAACGCAAGAGCGAGGGAAACCTGCACCAACTACCCCTTATCTATGATGCAGAGGGAGGCTAGTTGGCGCCATCTGATTGGATGACATCGATAGCCAATCAGAAAAGCAATGCAACGTCTCCTAATATGCAAATATATTGCCCTGCGATTACGTGCTCCACGTTCTATCCAATCAGAAGAGAGACTTTTTTTTCAATCCTTTATTCGAATACAAGACACAAATGGCTTTATTTTGTGCGAGGCTTGGGTGTTCAGAGACTGACATCATGCCTGACGCGTCTGAATCTGCTCTGGTCCCCCAAAAAGGCTCCAAGAAGGCCATCACCAAGGCGCAGAAAGAGGATGGCAAGAAGCGCAAACGCGGCCACAAGGAGAGCTACTCTATCTACCTGTACAAGGTGCTGAAGCAGGTGCACCCCCGACATCTTTGAGCGCATAGCTAGCAAGGCGTTGCACTGGCGCACTACAACAAGCACTCGACCGTTACGTTCCGCGAGGTGCAGACGGCTGTGCCCTGCTGCTTCCCGGGGAGTTGGTCAAGCACGCCGTGTCCCAGGGCACCAAAGCCGTCATTAAGTACACCAGCCGCGAGTGAGCGCATCTCAGGCGCCCTAACTCAAAGCTCTTTGCAGAGCCACCCGCACGGTCCAGAAAGGGTTCTGAACACGATAAAGACTTTTTACTTAAGCTCTTACATTGACGTGCGCCCTAGCTGCTCCTTGCTCCTGGGCGCCAGGTCTGAAGCTCTTGTGAGCATAATGCAGGAATGTATTTCGTTTAAAAATAGAGGCAGGAATGGTGGCATAAAGACACGCTAGGAGATGCGGGACGCTTCACCCCCCTGCCCTAGGAGATTCTTTTAGCCTCCACCCTTGAGCCGGTCAAATCCCTGGTGGGCTAGGTGAAGGGATGCGGTTCATGAGCTTGGTGAGGCCCCTGTATCTTGCGCTACCTTGCGGCAGGGCCTGGTTCTGAGGCTTTCTACGACCTCTCTCAATCCCTGCACGGATGAGACAGACATCTTTATCCTCAAGCTGTGAGCATTCCAGGAGGATGTTTGCCTGGCAAAAGCCTGCAGTAGCAATAGACTTGAACCCAGAACCACTATGCGTCGGCGAGCTGGATGCTTGTAACTACAGCTGTCTGCAGCTTTGATCTCAGGGGAAAGGGGAGGTTATTTTAAGAGGAAAAAAATTCTTCCGTTTTGAACAAATGTGCTTGTCTCTTCAGGCACACTGTTCTCTGGCAGTGTTCCTAAACAGAATGACCTTTTTCTTCATCTTCATGGTATTTACTTGCAGAGTGCCATTTGGCGCTGGGAAAGCGTTTTGGCACAAGTCTTTATTTTGGAGTGGACACAGATTGACTTTCTCTGGATTTGACTTTTTGTATTTATAAAAAGGATTTTGTAATAATTTGAATTGAGAGAATTAGAAGTATTGAGCATTGGTTATTGTCCTGGCAAATAAATGTTAATATATATCTCTAAGTCTTCTTCAGAGGAAGCCTGTCTCCTGTCTGGACTGTTGCAGAGGGGCAGGGCTGGGGGAAGTGTTTCCTGCAGTAGCTGTGTCACCAGCTCCCTTTCTGCATAGAGCCATTAAAATCATTCCTGAAAATTAAAGTTTTAAAGTTGAAGGTATTTTTATCAGATGTTCAGATAGTTGAAAGGATGTATATCCCAATGTAACACCTACTTAACAGATATTTCAAGAAATTGCTTTCTCTGAACTCATTTTTCCATTTTCCTTCTGCCTCAGAATGTCATCCTGCAGCAATTTCTTTTGTCTATTATGTACAGTATATTTTTGTCTATTACCTTTCTTGCAAAAACAGTATGTCAATTGAAATTTAAACATTTTAGGTGGCCAAAGATCTCTTACTGTTAAAAAAAATAATCTGGACAGTTACAAAATTGTTTAAGTCAGTGTAACTAAATTTTTATTTCAATAAGTTGAGTTCTAGTTCTTCTTTTCTTTATTTTTTCCCTTTTAATTCTGTAAGAAAGTATTTATTTAATATAAATGGTGCAAGGAAAACATTCCTCTTAGAGCTAGTTGTAACTTAACAATCATTAGACTTCACCATTTGGTAGTACAAAATAGTAACATGTTAATGAAAGTTTACTTTCATGTCTAGATAGTACATTAATTTATAGCTGTTCTTTTGTTGTCTTCTTATGGCACCTTCTTGATGTCTTCCTGTTAGGGAGACGGTCTTTAGGGCTGTAGCCTGAACTGGCCCCCAGGTGGAACCCCCAACCTAGCAGTGGCTGTCCTGACAACACCAGCCAGTCCCTAAACTGCAGTACTGGTGAGGAGTTAAGATGACATGATTTCTGTTTCAACTTCAGAAACACACTGTGACATCATAGAGAGGATCTTCCAGCCCCACTCTGCTCTTGTTGTTATTGGGGCCACTTGTGCCACTTGATGAAAATGGCTTCTTTCACTTTTGCTTACAGCCCTTGCCCCCTCATGCACAGGCGAAGACTAGGAAATCCTCTATTCCAAGGTCCCAGTGTCCACATAATCCTCCCCTAATACAAACCATTTTCCACAGAACATACTGCTGGTTTTGTGTTTCCTCATAACCACCAGGACCCAGCAGTCCAGTTTCAGCTCAGCGGGACCCTCTGCACTGACAGTCACCACACCTTCAGCTTTTCCATCCACAGGGGGCCTCCCTTCCAAACCAGAAAAGCAAATGTAAGAGAGTAAACATGTGACAGGTAAATTCATTCTGTGACATTTTCCTCACTGAAAGTATTTTAAAATAGATTGAACTATATCAATATTTCATGAAAAGTAAAGAATGTTTTTTTTGGCTGGCTCAGGCTGCCTTAAGGGCACGTCTGGTGGGCCTTGTGGAGCTGGGGATCAAACATGGTCCCCTGTGCCTGACTGAGTTTGTCCAAGCAGGGACTTTAAACAACTGAGCTAACCTGCAAGCCCCCTCTTCATGAAAAATAAACACCTAGAAGAATTTAGATAATACAGTGTCTGTAGTAAGCATGATTTAACCCTGAACATCCATTTTTTAAATTTAAAACATCATTGTTTAAAAAGTAACATAAAAATGGCAAAGATTACTGTATTCACATATTCTGAGTCTCATAAATTTTAATTCAACTCCTAGTTTGCTTCACAATTATGTGTGTTAATGGTATTTGCTCCTGTTTTTGAGTGGGAAGAGGATCCATTTTTTCTTTCTTAACAGTAGTATTTTGATTTTTTTCCCCAATTCTTGACAAAAACTCTTCATACTGAGGTTGAACAGTAATTGAGGATCTGGTCCAGAAAGTGGTGGGTGGTTATAGACTTCTCTAATATTCAGAACCTGTGGTATAATTTCATCCAAGTACTCAGCTCGAATTCCATGAAAAGGGCGTGTAGATAACCACTCTGGCAACCTGGGGCAACCATGGAGGATATCTGCAGCCTCCACCTGCTGCCAAAACGCTGAACTGGCTCTTACATCCACACAAGCCTTTGCAGCTAGCTGTAGTCCAATTTTATCGGCTTCGGTTTTCATCGTTCTACTGTATAGTCTGTCAAATATTTACTTCTGCAATTTAGACTGTATCCTCTGGCCCAAAATTGCTGAACTATCTCATGGACAAATGGCCCAAATCATCCTTAGAAGAATTATACCTAGGAAATCCAATAAGTGAACCAAACTAGCCTTTTCTGCAGCATGCCCAAGTACTGCATGTGCTATTTCATGGCCCAGAAGGAAGGAAAGCTGATACACATCAGTTCCACTATTTAAAAGCTCCATGAAAATAAACAGTTGTCTATTCAGTAGCACAAAAGCATTTACTGTATCTGGGGAGTCAACCACATGAATAACCCAGTTGATCTCATAGATTCCTGGTATATCCATATTGCATTCACCTAGATGATAAACCACTTCCTGAGCTGTTAGATTTCAAGTGTATTTCTCAGTTAACACGTCATTTTAAAATTCTCCCATCAATGCTTTATATTCCAGTTCAGAGAGATGTCTAAAATGTTCTTTCCGCTCCTGCCTATGATGGGGCTAACTTCCAGGTGAGTAAAATAAAACACTATAAATAACAGCCCACAGGTACTCAAACCAAGAACCATCTTCCACTTAGTCTCATTTATTTATTTGTTTATTTGGTTTTTTTTTTTGTGTGTGTGGTAGAGGAACCAAAATCAGAAGCTCACGTCTGCCAGGCAAACGCTTACACCTCCTGAGCTATGCCCTCGGCCCCAGCTCACTGTCCCTCACCACCTGTCTAAGTAGTCTTTGTGTTAGGAGGAAGTACCAACACTATTTCCTTATACCTATGCCCACAGTGATTGCAAATAGTCTCTGCAGTGGCTTCAGAAGAACTGACAGGAGAGGAACAGGTGCCGCTTGAACCTGTGACAAAGTCTGGAAGTTTCTCACAAATCTTATAGGAAATAATATCATAGGACCCAGGAAAAACTATCTTCTTTGGTCAATACCCATCTCGAAAAAGAGTAACTCTATGAGATACATTTGTGGGTAACTACCTGAATGTCCTTACTTTGGGCACTTGAGAAGAATCCTGGTCTTCTGTTATAGAAAGTCCTGTCAAAATGAAAGTCTCCAGGCAGAAATGTGAGCCTGTCACACTGATGGAATAAAGGAAGCCCCTGTGTTTACTAGATGGAGCCTTTGTGACTGTGACAGCTTGCTGAAGTTAGCGCTAGTGAGTTCCACTTTTTCCAGTTGCCCAGTGGATTCAAGCAGAAGACAAAAGAATTTCTGGCAGTAGATGGCAGTTCATAAATGAAACTCATCTTTCTTCTGCTTGATTATCGTGAGGACTGACTGACTAGCAGTAGCCACAGCAGACTCCAGGAGCTGCATCTCTGCCTTCTTTCCTTTAGACTTTCTGTTTTGATTACTTCATGCATCTGGGCATTGATAGTCACAGTAGGGCTACAATCCTAGCAGTATACAGCATCACTTTCATTCTGTTTTCTTTTGGTATGTAAGAAAATTGTGGAAATAAATACATAAGAATTGCAATTTTGTCATAGATATTTTACTCAATTCTTTGCCTTCCTAGTTATCATTTCAAACTTAAACAGTGATCTGTCATTCATATTAAGTGTTACCTGTCAATAATGACTGATAGGGGCCGGGGAGATGGCTCAGTAGGATAAGCGCTTGACTGGCAAGCACAAGGACCTGAGTTCAATCCCCGGTTCCGCCAAAAAAAAAAAAATAATAATAATAATGACTGATACATCTAAGCCATCAGCCCCAACCTAGAAATTAGAAATGAAGTTTGTTTTTGTTTTGTCTTATGTGCAGTGCTGCTCAAACACATGAAGTGTTTTTTTTTTTTTTTTTTTTTTTTTTTTGTTTTTTTTTTCTTTTTTGGTGGAACCGAGGATTGAACTCACGCCCTTAGCGCTTGCCAGGGAAGCGCTTATTCCACTGAGCCATCTCCCCGGCCCAACACATGAAGTTTTAAAGGAGCATCTGTAACCAGTTGATGTAAGCCTATAGATATGTGTGGTTCTCTACCTTAAGGAGACCAACATATAGTTTTAATAAAAAGAAACTTGCCTTCAGCAGATAGAGGAATGTGATTGTATTAGCAGTAGGCAGAATCAGTAAGGAAATGAACACATGATAATATCCAAATATAATTCTATAAGAATGCATTTTGTTGTAGATAGTGCAGAATATGGCTTAATTTCTCAGTTTTCCTAACTCTCTGGCAACAGCTTGAAGTAAGAAAAGAAAGCCTTTACTTTCTACATGGCAGTCCCAAGCCCAGAATGTATAGAACTTATCCCTCCCTCCTTGGACAAAGATCAGTTAGGGGAAAGAACACAAAACAGGGTCTTGGCTATAGAGATTGCTGTAATGAAGAAAAGTGAGAGAAATTATATACAGACTCATGTCTATAATTCCATTCTTACAACAGATAAGAAGACATGTTTGTTTAAAGTGAAAGTTAAGGCAGAGCATGTCAAAATAAGTGAAAATCTGTAGAGATTATGAGAACTAAGACTTACACAATGGAAGTATTTTGAGTCAGAAACCAAGCTACCATTTAAAGTGGGTTCTAGCAAAAGTGGGCGGGTACCATTTGAAAAGCATAGAAGAGATTGCCCTTCCTGCTAAGCCTTTCGAGTAAAATTCCCTAATTAATAAGAAATAAACCAAAGAATTTGAAGGATGAGAAAAAACTGTTCCTTTAAGAAGAAGCTATACACTCAAGGAAGTGAACTTACCAGATGAAGCAATAGGAGGTTAAACGCTGACAGATGCATGGCTAACACTGTGGCATATGTGAGGAGCTAAAACAGCGGTTGTCTACCTTCAGACAGAGCTATGCTTCTAAATCCAAGCCAATGATGAGCTCTTGGAGAGGAGGGGTCACTCCAAGGTGTTCTTGGCTAAGGATACAGCCTGGATCCCAGGCAGGTCTGCATGCCTTGGAAATTATGTGTCACTAAGCAAATATTATATTTATTTTGCTTATGGCTCTCCAGGGATTAAAAAAAGGCACAGATTTACTTTAGGGGAGGTTTATTTTTTTTTGTTTTTGGTGCTGAGGATTGAACCCAGGGCTTCCAACTTGCTAGGCAAGCATTCAACCCTGTGCCAAATCCACAGCCCCCAGATTTACTCTATGTAAAAGATTTTTTTTACTATTTACTAGGTTGTGTACATGATATGACACGTGTGTGTGTGCATATGTATTTTACACATGCATTTGGAGATGAAATGAAAAGGATCTTTTACTGTTTACTAAGGAAAACAAAAACATACATTATATGGATGAAGAAATACCAGAATCTCTCAGCTGGGTATTCAGCTGAGGGTAGAGACCAAGGTCTGTGAGCCCCAGGAGTACTATTTCCAGGGCAAGACATTGCACAAAGGGCTGCTTAAGTAAAATGCTTCTGAAATGTTTAGCTTTGGGCTATAAGCTCACGGTGTTGAATCCTGGCTAGTGATGGTTTAGAGCTGAGGAAGGGAAGCTCAAGTGTATCCTTAGGGCAGCGCGACAACCCCATCCTCAGCTTGAGCGATCTCTTCATTCATGTCCTCCGGCCTCATTCACTAGACAGGCGTTGGGAAAATGGCACAAATTGCCTTGGTAGTGAGCAAAAAGAACGCCACACAGGTCAGATTTCGTGTGCTGCCCCTTTCTAGCTGCTGGCTGTGGGCTAGACGGAGCCACAATTATTTATTTATTTAAGGAAAACGTACCATTAAGAACAGAGGCCTAATCCCGTCTTGGGACATGCACACCCACTGCTCAGTGGTCTCCCCACCCCCATAGCTCCCTATCCCGTGCTCTGATTGAGTCAAAGGTCACAGACAAACCATGCGCACGCGCCTTTTTGAGCTTGAAGGTGACTCTGAAAAGAGCCTTTGGGTTTGGGCGCCCGGGGCGCGCTCACTTGGAGCTGGTGTACTTGGTGACGGCCTTGGTACCCTCGGACACGGCGTGCTTGGCCAGCTCCCCGGGCAGCAGCAGGCGCACGGCAGTCTGCACCTCGCGGGACGTGATGGTCGAGCGCTTGTTGTAGTGCGCCAAGCGCGACGCCTCGCTAGCGATGCGCTCGAAGATGTCGTTGACGAAGGAGTTCATGATGCCCATGGCCTTGGACGAGATGCCAGTGTCGGGATGCACCTGCTTCAGCACCTTGTACACGTAGACAGAGTAGCTCTCCTTGCGGCCGCGCTTGCGCTTCTTGCCATCCTTTTTCTGCGCCTTGGTGATGGCCTTCTTGGAGCCCTTTTTGGGGGCCGGCGCAGAGCGGGAAGGTTCCGGCATGACGAAGCGACAACCAAAAGTGGATCAGTTAGAATGAGGGGCAGGCAGGCCTATTTGTTATCTTTATATTCAAATGAGGGTTTCAAACGTCTGGCACCTGGTTGGACGGCCTGCCGCCCGGCAGTGACCCAAAAACATGTATGTAAATAGGAGATGCGTCTCTTCCTTTTTATTGGACTGTAGTCCAACCAATCCAAAAGCGCGTAGGCAGCGCGCAGGTACCCAGGCTGCGCATCTTTTTTCAAACCCTTTGTTTTAAACCAGGCGATCCTTGGGTCTGCAGAGTATGTGACATTTGCTAAAAGTAAACCGAAACCCTGTTACAACTTGAGTCACGATTCTCTTTGGCCATGGGTGATATACAGGGACATTTCTTTCTGAAGCCAACAGCTGGAGAGCGGAAGACTGATGGTTACTTAGTAAGAGAAAGTAAATAGCAGCTACCAACAGCATTAACCATTTACTTTCTGTCACCTTTCAACTCCAGAGATAGGTTCCTTGCACAATTTAAGAGTGAACCCAATCGATTCCTTTGGAAAAATTGAAGAATTTCCATCCGAACACAGATTTTAACTGGAGAGAGTTGACTAAACTGGTAGCCTTTTCTATTGTTATTATTGCCCAAGAAATTTCTTTGAAGTGACAGCCATATGCCAAGTGAGAGTTTGACAAGTAGGATTTAAGCTATATCTCCCCAGCCTGCAGCCACCTTTATGTTAATTGCTATTTCCATACTTATGTTAATTACTACCATTATGTTAATTACTGAATCACTTGCCAGAACACAGGCCTCTGGAAGTTGTCCCCAGGATGCCTCCCCTAGTGCATAACTTCCAAGGTAATAAGATGAAGTTTCTCATGTTCACATTGATCACCTGGAGAGCTGCTTAGAAAAGCAGAATCTCAGGCCTGGCCCCATATGAGTAAAGGCAGAACCTGCAGTTTAGTATTATACTCCAGCACATTCTAGCTTGAGGAGTCTGATGGGAGGCTACTTATCTGGCCTTCTTGGATGACTAGCTACCTTCTCTGGTCTCCATTTCATCCCCTGTAAGAAAGCCCTCATGCTTGCCTGGTAAGTAGGGTTGTTTAGCATATGTTCATTACTTCATTCCTACTAACGTTCCCTTACTAGGTCCAGCCCAGGCCCAGGAGCTGGGCTGCCTCACTAGCTTCACCCAATCCCATTACAGGAGAAAAGAGCAGGAGCCTTCCTCCTTCCAGAAGTTTTTCCTGCCTACACCTCTGGAGAGGTACCTGTGGCACCCAGCATATGCCCAGCCATGCTTGGCTGAGACAGAATGTGAGCCAGTCAACACTGCTGAGTTGGGCTGAGGTCTGAGCTCCTTTTGGCAGCAGCCTGAGATTCTGGGTCTCCTGTGCTGCTATGGACTGCCCTCCCTTGCATCTAACATCTCTTTCTCTGTTGCTCCAGTCATGTTTCTTAGGGCATTCACCTGTTTTTCCAGTCCCACCTCCATCACTAAGTTGCCCAGGCTGGGCTTGAAATTGTGATTCTCCTGCCTCAGCTTCCCAATGTGCTGGGGTTACAGGTATGCACTATCGAACCAAAGCCTCTTTTCTCACACATGATGGGCACTTAAATGTTTCCTCCTCCTCCTCCTCCTCCTCCTCCTCCTCCT